CAGACAGGCCACCAGTGCTGTGAGCTCGTTACAGCTTTTCATTTACGCCGGTTGTCTGGAGAGAGGTCACTCCAGGGGGACTGCCAAACGGTTGCAGGAACTCCTGCATTGATTTTTCTCTCTAGTCAGCATCTTGCCTTTAAGGTTAAGGCGACTGCTCATTTAAGGAGCTGAAGGTCCTGGCCAGAGTCCTAATCCCATTACTTGTTTCTCTTGGTTTCTGATCTTTTCTCCCCTCTGGAGTATAAGTTCTTGGAGGCCAGTGAGTCTATCTTTTAATTTTCCCTAGACCACCGTTAAGCTGGGATAGTTAGGAAACACTACTGGCGAGTCAGAACAATGACGTTTTCTCAGTAGGTCCACGTAGGTGTGCCTAAGCATGGCAGTTTTGGCTCCTAGGGGACATTTGGCAACGTCTGGGACATTTTGGGTTGTCATGACGGGGGGGTGCGGGAGAGCTGCTGGCATCTGATGGGTTGTTAAACATTCTACAATGCACAGAACAGCCCCCTAACAAAGGATTTGTTGATATTAGTGCCTTCGAGTCAATTCCAACTCTTAGTGACCCCATGTACAGCAGAGTGGAACCTGCCCAGTCTTTTTGTGCCGTCCTCTCATCTTCCTGTGCTATATGAGACATATGCTTCACTGCTGTTCATAGGGTTTTCATGGCCAGTTTTTTGGCAGTGGGTGGCCAAGTCCTTCTTCCTAGTCTGGAAAGGATTATCAAAGGATTATCTGGCCCCAAATGTCAATAGTGCTGAGGTTGAGAAACCCTGGCCTATAGAAATTTAGTTGCTATCTGGATCAGATTATCTTTGCTTTAAACACACCCAATCCAGTTTAATTGGGCAGAATAGTCCTGCTTTCTTCTCTAAAAGTGAATCTTAGACAGACACACTGGGTAGAGTGAAGTGAAGAGAAGCTTCTTTGAAAGAAGCTTTTATAAAACAACATGCAGGGGCCGGCCCCGTGGCTTAGCGGTTAAGTGCGTGCGCTCCACTACTGGCGGCCCGGGTTCGGATCCCGGGCATGCACCGACGCACCGCTTCTCCGGCCATGCTGAGGCCACGTCCCACGTCCAGCAACTAGAAGGATGTGCAGCTATGACATACAATTATCTACTGGGGCTTTGGGGAGAAAAAGGAGGAGGATTGGCAATAGATGTTAGCTCAGAGCCGGTCTTCCTCAGCAAAAAGAGGAGGATTAGCATGGATGTTAGCTCAGGGCTGATCTTCCTCACACACACACACACAAAAAAAAACATGCACCTACGGCAGGAACTTGAATCAGCTGGAAGCGCTTGGAAGCAGTAGCTCCCCATTTATTCAGAAGTTATGAGTGCTAAGTTATGAGTGCTATTAGGTGCTAAATGCACCTAAATGAAGCACTTGGCCAGGTGCCTGGTAAGGGTGGGTGCTCAGTTGCTGTCTTTCTTGTTGCTTGCTTGTGGTAACGCAATTTTGTGGTGGGTGGGTAACTTTAACCACTGTTTTGCGGAATCGGGTTTAAGCAAGGCCTTGCAAAAAACCCTGGAGTTTTAGAAATTGACACAAACGCAGTGACCACTGTCTCTGTGGTTATCCTTATGTTCCCTCCAGCATTTTGCTAGAAACTCCAAGTTCTGTGGGTTAGACTACCTGTGATTTTTAACAGTAATTCATTTGATGAACAATTATTGTTCATCTGTGTCTGTGCCAGGCGCTGAAGTGAGTCGTTGTCCCTACCTTTATGAAGCTTTCCATCTACCTGGGAAGATAGACACCGAACATGCACTTATGTATAGTTACTCGGTTCAGTGGTCATAAATGTTACCGAGGAGACATATGGGATGTATGAGAGGATATTAGAACAAGGGGATCCAACCCAGTCTGGAAGTTTAAGGGAAACATATTTGAAGAAATATTTAGGTTTAGGTCGAATTGACTAGGTGGAGAGGAGGCGGGTTGGGGTGGTGGGAAATGTAGGGGACAGAACAAATACCATGTGAGACAGCCATGGGAAAGGAGCCTTCCAGAAAACGAAAGAAGGGTACAGTGTTTGACATAGTGAATGGCCAGGTATTATGGGTTGGTAGGGAGTGTCATGAGGTGAAGCTGTGGACGCAGAATGGACAAATTGTGTAGGGCTTTGTAAGCCGTATTGAGCATTTTAGGTATTATCCTAAGAGGGGTGTGGGGGTGTGAAGAAGGGTAGTGACATGATCAGATTTGCATTTAAAAATTTGCATTTTTAAAGAGCTTTGCTTGGTCACTTAATTTTTCAAACTGCTTTTAACTTCTGGAAGATCAAAATGCCACCTACATATAGATGTGTATGTGTATGTTTTTAAAAAATAACAGCTTTATTGAGATACAATTCACATACCATAAAATTCATCCTTTTAAAGTGTACAGTTCAGTGGTGTTTAGTATGTCCACAGAGTTGTGCAACTGTCACCACTCTCTAATTGCAGAACATTTTCATCACTGCAAAAAGAAACCCCCTATCTATTAGCAGACACTCCCAGTGCCCCCTCTCCAAATTCTTGGCAACGACAATCTACTTTCTGTTTCTGGATCTGCCTCTTGTGGACGATTCATGTAAGTGAAATCATGTAATTTGTGGCTTTTTGTGACTTGTTTCACTTTAGCATAATGTTTTCAAAGTTTATCCATGTTGTTGCATGAATCAGTACTTCATTCCTTTTGATGGTTGAATAATATTGTATTGGTGAATCGTATCTAATCATATCTTGTTTATCCATTCATCACTTGATGGGCATTTATTTGGGTTGTTTCCCTTCTTTGGTGATTGTGACATTTGTATCATGCAAATGGTCAGAAGGAACATGGATTTCAACCTTATCTTTAAAGAGAAGGGCTTTGCTTTTTATTATGTAGCACATTCTGTTCAGTAAGCAGTTTCTTTTCTGAAAGACTTATATGACAGTAAAGGTTCAACCACGTGTGTTAATGTTGCTGAATTGAGAGAAATGCTGTTACAAACTTGAGTTTTCCTTTTGGCACTTGAGAGCAATCTTTGCAGTTAATGGTGCCAATTCTTGCTTAGTTCTGGAAGTCAGAGTCCATTGTTGTTCTGGTTGTCCATTTACAAGTGGATGCCAATCTTAGTTCCTCTGTTTCACTTGAATGATTTCTTGTCCACATTAATAGAATGCACCTGATTGCCTATTACCGAAGTGATGGCTTTCATCTTCATTAGTTATTTCAGAGAATAAAAAATAAATAAAAGTCAGAGTGGCCTCAGTATTACAGAGTTCAGAATGTGCACTAGGAGGTCACGAGTATAATAAAAAATGGTTTATGACCTGCAGCGGGGCGTAACTTCAGGTACAATGAGTGTTAAGAATTGGTTAATGATTAAGCAAGAACATTTTCAGACCAAGGGAAAAAATGTAGGCAATGAATGTAAGAAGCTTCATAGCTTATCGTAGAGGGTGGGAAAAAAAATATTTTTCAAGTCCAAGCAGTTTTGGTAACAATGTTTCAATGGTAAATTTACACAAATCAGTCAACAATTGGAAAGATTTGGTTTATCCACTTTAGAGTACAGAGTTTATAAGAAGATTAATCTTTGAAATTTTATTGTGCCTGTTTGCATGTTTGTTTTGGTTTATAACTGGTTCCTTTCAATGTTAGCGTCAGGAATGTTACCCAAGATTTCATTCAACATTTAGCAAGCTTAGGATGACTGTAAAATTGGTCCACAGTTGTGCAAGCAGTTACAGTAGGACACCTACTGCTAATAAATGGTCAGATTTGTCAGGGGGAAGCAAGTTACTTTTGCCAGTAGAGTCCTTATTGGGAAAAATTGATTGTTTCTTAGCAGATAATGGATTAATAGTAACTGGTCTACTCTGCAGTTTCATGATTGTACTTAATGAATGGGCTTACTCTTATTTATTAGGCCATGTTAGAGGAATCTCTTTGCTGTTGTTATTACAGGATTCTCCTGTGTGTCTGGTACTATATTGAGGATTTGCCTGTATTATCTTGTTTAATCCTCTCAATACCCTAGCGGGATGGGTAGATACCGGTGACATCTCTAGACTACAGATGAATGAACAGAGACTCAGCCGTTAAGTGACTTGTCGGAGCTCACACAGGAATGGTAGAGCCAGGTCGTGGGGCTGACTCTAAAGCTGATGTGCCCTACACTGTACTTCCCTCCTTCTCTGGCACACTAAATGAAAATGGAAAAACGTTTATTATGGAAGATTAAATTTCACCCACAGTTGAAGTTCTTGAATTTTGTTCTAAAAAGTATGTTCTGGTTAGAGCCTGTTCCTGGAAGTCTGCTTCTTAGCGTGTTATTACTTTGTCTTCTCCAGTGTGATTGATTGCAGTGTGACCTTAAGTAACTTTTTAGTCTTTCTCGAGCACATTTTGCTCCTGTCTGTAAGAATGTCATAGGACTTCATAAAGCACACCTCAGTATTTCTGAAGGGCTCTGTATAGCGTACAAGAAGAAAGGCAGCTTGTCTGGCCTGTAGAGTGTTAAATGCTGCTGCTCACTTGACCTTTGTTTGGTAGTTTTGAGTTAAATCATTGGATTATGATTATTTTTTTATCTAAAAACAAGGTTAATAATGCTAGTTATTGTCTTCTGATACTAAATTTCAGTGAGGGAGGGGCCAACAGAGCTTTCCTAGATCTCGGGGTCCAGGGCCTATAGTGACTGAAGCATTGGGCCAGGACAGAGCACCTGGGCTATGGCCTGGCTTGCTACCTGCTAAGCTGCATGATTCACAAGCCTCTTCACCCCTCCCCCTTCTACCTACTCTGAGGGTTAGGAGAAGTAAATGAGAAATTACTCATGAGAAGAATTTTATACTTTACAGGTCATATGAACATAAGCGATGATAATTATCTTCAAAGTGCCATGAGATTATAATTTTTGGAAATCTTAGATTTGATTTAGTCTTCTGGTTTTTGTCTTTGGACTTCTTAGATGACACTTCAGTTGTGTGTTTTCATTTTTCTTCTTTTTTTTTTTAGTGGTATGTGTGCAACAGAGAGAAATTATGCGAATCACTCCAGGCTGTCTTTGTTCAGAGTTATCTTGATCAAGGAACACAGATCTTCTTAAACAACAGCATTGAGAAATCGGGCTGGCTATTTATCCAGTTATATCACTCTTTTGTGTCATCTGTTTTTAGCCTGTTTATGTCTAGAACATCTATTAATGGGTAAGTGAATCTTGGATATTTTTTCTTTATCTTTAGGTTTAAAAAAAAATGAAAAAGAAAAGTTACCTTGTTCAAGATGTTGACTACTTCCTCAGCTACAACGCTTCTACTAGTCAGTATCCTTGGCAGTAGGTCCAGTGCTTTTTAAATCACCATAACTTGGGAAATAGCCTCATGAATCTGTATTTCTATGGTGGGAGTTACGTAGAGCAGTGCTTCTCGGCTTTGATGTGCACAGGAATCACCTGTAGATTTAGATTCTACGTCAGTAGGTCTGGGGCCTGAGATTCTGCATTTTTAACAAGCTCCCAGGTGATGCCCGTGATGCTGCTAGTCCCCTACCATTGAGAGTAGCAAGACACTTGAAACCAGACCCTTAACATAGATAGGCTGAAGAGTAAGATCTTTGCTTTAAGCACACTTCCCAGGAGGAAGTTTTTTTGGGGGATCTAATTCAGCCCAGCAGTGGGTGATGGTTTATTTTGAGTGAAGGGTCCTACATCTCTTCTTACATAATGTTTAGGCTCAGTAGAATTTTGTAAACTTAATTGTGGAATTATCTGTCCTTAGAGTGGTTCTGTCATATAAATCTGTGGAAAAAAGCTTTAGGAGTATTTTTTCTCCTTTCTTGGCCAAATTTTTAAACATCCCCATGGCCCAAGAATCCAGAATGCTAAAGAGGCAAGCAACAGGGCTCGGTGCTTAAAAAGCCTTGTTAGACCACTTAACGTCACTAGTTGGGCCCCCTTGAGGTTTGGAGCCAGCTCCTGCTGAATGTCTGGATCCCCAGTCTATCATCTGGCCCTTAAATATGTTTTCAGACACCATGAGCCATTTCTCAAGGTTTCTTACTTGATTTTCTTCATTGTTGGTAAGAAATTGCCTTAAGTTTGCTTCAGGAAACGGTTGTTATTTTTGTGTTGGTAGTTGAGTTTATAGGACGTGGTCTGACATTTTGTTTCTAAAATTGGCTGCACTGAGTTCCTGTTCTATGTCACTTATTTTTTCATTGGAAAGCAAACAAGTCACTGTGGAGTGATTCTTATCCTTTATGGGGTCCTGTGCTTCTTTGAAAGCAATAAAAAGTAGGAATCTTCTCTTCAAGTAGTATTTACATTCAACATTTTTCAACATTTTGAGAGATTTCAAACTCTGAACCATTTCCCCTTACCTCTACCCCATTGGACCCTGGTTAAAATTTTTGCTCTGGAATTTCACAATTTGGTCAAAAAGAGGCAATACAATTAATAAATCCTTTTTGGCTTCTCTTATCTATAGATCTTCTGCTTTTTTTTTTTTAACCCTAACCCCACCCCCACCCCGCCACACAAAAGAAACAAAACTCCAACACATCTCTTGCCCTGTGTCCTATTCCCAGCTGAAAGCTTAATTTTAAGCCCATTGGTACTTTCCATTCATGGCAGTGGTAGATTATTACCATGAGTGGCTGTCTCTTACAGAAATAATTACTATGGTACCTGCTTGAATTAAGAAGATAAGATATTTATGAGACTTCCTTTATGTTGGAAAAGAGAAGGGCCAAGTAAGGAGAGACTTAATAGCTGTTTTCAGAGTTTATTTTATAAGAGAGTGCACCTCCTCTATAGACTCTAAAGCTACAGAGAATTTAGATGGCGGCTACAGAACCTAGGATGGCTGTTAAACACTAAAACAAAACAAAACAAAACCCCACACATGGACATCGCTAACTTAAGAAGTTAAAGACAAATTAGACAGCCATACCTCTCCACGGTGTATGTTTGCTGGAAACCTTGTGTTGAGCTAGGTCAGTGTCTTGGTATTTTAAATGGGATAATTCTTCATCGTGTGGGACTGCCCCACACATTACAGGAAGTCTAACTTTTCTGGCCTTGCCCGCTAAATGACAGTAGCATCCCCAAGTCATTGTGACTACCCCAAACTCTCCCACCTATTCCCAATGCCACCTAGAGGGCAAAGTTGGTCTTGGTTGGGAAAGACTGGGCTCGATGAATTTTGATTTCTTTTTTGACAGTTTTAATCTTTTTGTGGAGCCTCTGTTGCTCATGATCTTTGGAAATAGGACAGTTCTCTCTCTGGTGCCTTTAGATGTAAACCAGTCAGATGACCTCCTGAGCTCTGACCTCAGATGACCTCTAGCTCTAGAATTTTACCGTTATCCTGTCAAGGTTCCTTACATCCCAAAGAGATGGCTAGGGAAGCATGTTATTTTATAACCGGGAAAGTTTAAGCCAGGTAACTAATTTGCAACTTACTTTTGGTCCTTTGGCAAGTTAGCACCAACATTTGAAACATGCATGCCCCAAGCCATGTTGCCTTTAACCTCTTCTTGCTCTGACTCTGGCTCCTGGGTGAAATTTTGTATAGCTATTTCAGTAATAAGTTTAGTTCCTTTTTTCACGTTTGCTTTCTGCAGCCTGTTTTTCCACTAGAGGATATGAGCAATTGAGGACTAAAAACAACTTGTCTTTTAGGAGATATGGTTTTCTTTGGTAAACGGTTGTAGTGGATAGCATCATATTTAGCAGTCTCTGAAGTCCACCCCACCCCCGCCCTGTTTGTTTTTTACTATTTCTTTGGGGCAGAAGATTTACCGTAAATACCATAAATTTTTTAGATTTGATTAAAGTCTCTCAAGGCCTTAATGGGAAAAGAGGAGGGGGAGTTTGTTATATGAACTCTATAATTTTAATTTTTCCCTGAAATTGGTCACACCAGGAGTACCAAGTTGCATGCATCTTTTCAGTCACTGTATAACAAACATACTGTACCTTGTGCTTATCTCCAGAAAGTAGCAGTACAGTATAGATTTCCTTGCCATTTCCTAGATCAGTGATTTTCCAACTGTTTCTAGGATCTGAAGAGGAAGTGCCTCAGGAGCTGCTTCAGGCTGCAGAGAAAGGCCTAGAAGTGGGCTGGCAGCAGCCCGGGGCTCTCCCTCTCATTTCAGCAGCAGCTCTCCTTTTACCATTTTATATTGTTGTGAGTTCAGCTTCATCTAAGGAGAGGGTTCTGCTGCTTCAAAGGAGTTTGCGAATCCCTGCCCTAGACAAAGTAGGATTTGAGGGCTAGAAAACAAGTTCTAAATAGGAGTGCATTTTATTCCCACAGCTGCTGTCCTGAGGGTTCTCTTTGATCTCCATTTTCACTCCTCTCAATTTCTTTTTTCAAAGATATTACTGTGGTTTTTGAATGTTTTTGAGAATCTTTAGAAATAAGAGGACCCAACCAATTGTATAACATATAAACTGACACAAGTATGAATCTGGTTTTTTTTTGTGAGGAATATCAGCACTGAGCTAACATCCGATGCCAATCCTCCTCTTTTTTTTTCGCTGAGGAAGACTGGCCCTGGGCTAACATCTGTGCCCATCTTCCTCTACTTAGAGGGGACGCCACCACAGCATGGCTTAACAAGCAGTGCATCACTGGGCACCTGGGATCTGAACCTGCGAACCCTGGGTTGCTAGTGCCCGCACTTAACCCGTACGCCAGTGGGCTGACCCCATGAATCTGCTTTTTTAATGCAAATTTAACTGATATCCCAAGGACCACTCTTTTCCTCTTTTCTCTCGTGTCTCTTAAAAATCTGTTATCCTGTGGCCGACCCTGTGGTGCAGCGGTTAAGTGTCGCGCTCAGCTTCAGTGGCCCGGGGTTCGCTGGTTCGGATCCCAGGCGCGCACCGATGCACCACTTGTCAGGCCATGCTGTGGCGGCGTCCCATATAAATTAGAGGAAGATGGGCACAGATGTTAGCCCAGGACCAATCTTCCTCAGCAAAAAAGAGGAGGATTGGCATCGGATGTTAGCTCAGCGCTGATCTTCCTCACAAAAAAATAAGTAAATAAATAAAAATTTAAAAGAATCTATTATCCTAAAGCTATTGTTTTCTCACCCATTGTTTAGTTTCCTAACGGTGTTATTTTCCTATTTGATTTCTCTGCTTAGTGTTATCGGCTAGTGCTGTGGTCTGATTCTGTTGGTCTGTCATCTGTTTAACTAATAAACGTGTTTTCTGTTGCTCCTTCCGTCTTTCCTTCCTATTTTGACCTAAGTTGTTCACATTCATCTTTTAATTTCTTATTCATTTCTTTTTTGCTTCCGCTCTCATCTTTTTCCATTCCACCTTTTCTTCCTCTCTTTCCCCGCTCTTTCTGGGTTTTATTTGCAAATGAGACAGATGATGATATCTGGAGGTATTTTCTTATGTTACTAACTTCGTTTTTTAATCATATAAAAGATAATATATATTTTAATCATATAAAATAAACATTTTGTAAGTTCAAAAGGCTTTTGGTGCTGAGTCACTTCATTACTCTGTGTGCGTGTGGGGGGTGCTTAGTTTGTATAGACTCTTCCATTTTTGTTCTTTTCCTTCCAGGTTGCTAGGAAGAGGCTCAATGTTTGTGTTTTCACCAGATCAGTTTCAGAGACTGCTTAAAATTAATCCAGACTGGAAAACCCATCGACTTCTTGATTTAGGTGCTGGAGATGGAGAAGTCACAAAAATCATGAGCCCTCATTTTGAAGAAATTTATGCCACTGAGCTGTCTGAAACTATGATATGGCAGCTTCAGAAGAAGAAATACAGGTATAATTTTTAGACATGTTTTGGGGTATATTTCTTTGTTTTAGATGTATTTCTTCTTGGGAGTATATTATTTAAAGGATATGAATCAGAAATAATTTTCCATGATTAGGAATTTTAAAAAAACTTTCCATATTACAATTAAGTGGAAATTGAGAGAGAAATCATTTCTCCTTGCAGTGTGTTTTGGACTAGAGGAATTGGCACCCTAGGGAGGAAGAGGGCAGATGAGAGACAACTTGGAAAAGAGAGATCAGATGTAGGGACTTGTTCCCTAATTGGAACCTGGAATTTTCGTCTTGTTTTTCTTAATTAAAAAAACAAATATTTATTGTGGTAAAAATACATAACATAGAAATTACTATTTAAACATTTTAAGTGTACAGTTCAGTGGTCTTAAGTACAGTCACATTGTTGTGTAACTGTCACCACCATCCATCTCCAGAACTTTTTCATTTTCCCTGCTGAAACTGTACTCATTAAACAGTAACTCCCCAATCCCCCCCACAGCCCCTGACAGCCACCATTCTACTTTTGGTGTCTGAATTTAAAACTACTCTAGGAACCTCAAATAAGAGGAATCATACAATATTTGTCCTTTTGTGACTGGCTTATTTTACTTAACATAGTGTCCTCAAGGTTCATCCATGTTGTAGCATGTGTCAAATCTTCTTCCTTTTTAAAACTGAATAATATGCCATTGTGTATATATGCACCATATTTTATCTGTTCATCTGCCAGTGGACACTTGAGTTGCTTCCACCTTTTAGCTATTGTGAATAATGCTACTGTGAACATGAGTGTACAAATATCTGAGTCGCTGCTTTCACTCCTTTTGAGTACATGCCCAGAAGTGGAATTGCTGCATCATATGGTAAGTCTATGTTTAATTTTTTGAGGAGTTGCCATACTGTTTTCCATAGCAGCTGCACCATTTTATGTTCCACCAGCAATGCACAAAGATTCCGGTTTTTCTGCATCTTCACCAGTACTTATTTTCTGTTTTTTTGATAATAGCCCTCCAAATGGATGTGAAGTGTCAAATCTTGGTTTTAAGCTTGAGGTTTTGCTGCTTGAGAGACTTAGGAAGAAGGTTAATCCTTATTCAGTATGGATTCTATTGAAAGAGAGAAGAAGGTACTGAGTATAGAATGGGGAGGTGTGGGTAGAGCCTGCCTCCCTCTCTGATATTTTGGAAGCCGGACTTAGCCTTAGAAAGAAGGGAGAGGGGCCGGCCCCGTGGCTCAGCGGTTAAGTGCACGCACTCCGCTACTGGCGGCCTGGGTTCGGATCCCGGGCGTGCACCGACGCACCGCTTGTCGGGCCATGCTGAGGCCGCGTCCCACACACAGCAACTAGCAGGATGTGCAACTATGACATACACCTATCTGCTGGGGCTTCGGGGAGAAAAAGGGAAAAAAAAAAAAAGGAGGAGGATTGGCAATAGATGTTAGCACAGGACCAGTCTTCCTCAGCAAAAAGAGGAGGATTGGCATGGATGTTGGCTCAGGGCTGATCTTCCTCACAAAAAAAAAGAAAGGAGAAAAAATTATGCACTCATTTTCCTATCCACCTAAGTTTCTACTTACACAGACTAACCCCAGAGACAGAGCATTAGCGTAGCTCTTTAGAGCAGGACTGGATTGAACATAAGCAAAACATGGAAATTTTTAGCCTGGGGAAGAGAAGACCAAGTAGGAAGGGGGTGGAAGGGAAGATTACTGTGAACAAATGTTTAATAGGATTTTATATGGAAAGAGGAAGTAAGTGTAGTATGGTCTGATCTGGTAGATCTGGTATGATCTGGTATGATCAGACAGATCAATAGCTGTTAGGATTCTCTTATAGGAGACTTCTGTGTGAGGTTGAACTAGGTGATGTGTAAGATCCCCCTTAGCTCCAGCGATCTGTCTCAGATTAGATCCTAGTGGGTCTGTGTGGTGATACTTGAAACATATTCCTTCAATTAAAAATTAATTCACTATTTCAAAACTTGGAATGCTCTGACCTTTGTTATAACAGTGGCTTAAATCATGCTGAATGGGCCGGCCCCGTGGCTTAGCAGTTAAGTGCGCACGCTCCGCTACTGGGGGCCTGGGTTCGGATCCCGGGTGCGCACTGACGCACTGCTTCTCTGGCCATGCTGAGGCCGCGTCCCACATACAGCAACTAGAAGGATGTGCAGCTATGACATACAACTATCTACTGGGGCTTTGCGTGAAAAATAAATAAATTAAAAAAAATTAAAAAAAAAATCATGCTGAATTCCTAATCTGACTTTCTTCCGCCACTTAAAAAAAAAAATCTGTGTTTTGAAAGTGGGTTTGGGGAGGATGGTGTTGAAACATGTCTTCATTCCCCTCCCACCTACCCAGCCCCTTTCCTTGCTTGCTTGCCATTAAAGCCCTTCCTGAGACTAAATGCCCAAATGGAATTTTCATTGAAGCTGCAGATGTTTGAATTAGTAATTCAGTGTATCTAGAGTTCACATGCTATGTAACTTAGTAAATTTACCCACCATATAAAAAATACTTAGTTTAATTTTTTTCCTAATACATAGCACCTATGCCAAAATCTGTTTGCAGTTTGACCTAAGTAGGAAGTTCATACTGGTTGACACTCTCCATAATGTGAGTATGAAATAAAAACATATTCACAAAAGTGGCAGCTTTTGATGCGGTTTGAGATTTTGGTGAGGAAGTGATATCTTACTAATGATGACAGGGCAAACTTTTAGCTTAATTCCTTGTGTTTTGGCTTCTTTTTGGGAAGTAGCTGTTTTTTGTTTCTCTTCAATATCTGGGCCCATGAAAAACTAGCTTTTTAATAAAGATTCTGGATGTCATTTTTGAAATAAATCAATAAACAGAAAATGGCCAGGTTTTTCCTCTATATTGCCAGTATATCATTGTTTATAGAAGAAAACTCTATTGTAAAATTTAAGGATGTGCCTTTGATTTTTTAAAACAAAACAATAACTTTTCTTTATATTGTTGGAGTTTTGTTTTTTATTTAGAATTTATCAAAATAAATTCTCTTTGTCACTTCTCTAAGAAAAAGGTATTTTAAATCCTCCTAGAAGGTAAACTATTACTTAACTCGTTTTCTTGAAAATAATAATCCCTAAACAGATGCCTGGCTTCTCGGGTTAGAAGTGCTGTTTTGGAAAAGCCATAAACATGGGAAAGGATTATACAATTAACTTTTGATTATGTGTACTGACTTATAATTCCACAATTCAAATGTCAATAAATAAAAACCATTCTTTGGCAGGAAAAGATTTTGGCAGCATGTTTACCTTCCTCAGTCTGGTTTACCAAAAGTTAATGTTAAAATTAGTTTACATGATCCAAATGTTGGTTAGTAGGTGGTGGAGGAAACAAGTGCGTGGCAAGATACTGAGTGGTGATGGGGATGGGTTTGAAATTAAATCCACACAGCCAGTTCACACACGGGTAATCAAAAAGGAATTGTATATACAATTTGACACCAGAGAACAAAGATCTTTAATGTAAATTTGAAAGATGCTTGACTGTAATCCATTATCTGTAGGTTTGGGATCTTTCTTGAAAAGAAAATATTATAGTTGAGAATTCTATTTCTCATTTTAATATCCTCTTTATTTTCTTTTTTTAACAACAAGATATTGAAGACTGAAGTGCAGATTGCTGTCCACTCCCAACCCACTGCCCTAGAAGCATTTATTCAGATGATTGTCAGGTTCTTTCTTACTACATGGAGAGAACAAGTTCATTGACCTGAAGAGCATACTAGGAGAATGTCCAAATTGTAATTTCTACCCTACCAGTGATTTGCAGTGTGACCTTGGAGAAGTCACTTCTTTGATTTTTCTCATAAGAAGAGGAAAATTCTAACAACTTGTTAGGATTCCTGGGCTAATAAATTTGTCTTCATCAGTTGAACTGACTTTACAAGTAGAAATCACAAAACAGAAATAAAGATGAAGTTGGACTTCTATGGGTATAGTTTTTACCTGTCCCAGCATAAAGCCGTAATTTTGTTATGAGCGTATATTTCTATCTTTCAAAATTACTGACATGGAAACTATCTGCAACTAATTCTGAGATGGATTTAGTGGGATTATTTTAGACTAAAACATGCTGATGATATTTGGCTTCTGCTTCATTGTAGATAGGCCTAAATTTGTTTTTTGTTTTTGTTTCCTTTTGTGAGGAGATCAGCCCTGAGCTAACATCTGCCAATCCTCCTCTTTTTGCTGAGGAAGACTGGCCCTGGGCTAACATCCGTGCCCATCTTCCTCTACTTTATATGGGACGCCGCCACAGCATGGCTTGCCAAGCGGTGCATTGGTGCGCACCCGGGATCCGAACCGGCAAACCCCAGGCCGCCGCAGCAGAGCGGCGTTTTATAACCAGTAGAGTTTTATAACCTCTTGCGCCACCGGGCAGGCCCCCTGTTGTTTTGTTTTTTGAAATCAAGTATATAATTTGTTTTTTGCAATTTATGAATTTAAATTGGCTGTTTGGCTAAGGTATTAATATACAAATAGCCTTTGTTTTAATTGTTTGTTTTGGTTTTTAAAATGAGAATTGATGACATTTTTATCCTGAGAGTAGAATCTTCTCTTGAGGTTTGAGTGAATTAAGTCCAGTTTCTAAAATCATCATTGTGGTCGCAATTTCAGTACAACAAAGTGGTTGTGAAGCCCTGATACTCTACTTACTTCAAGCTCCAAAGGAGTGTGACTTAGTCCCTTGACATTCGTTAGAGTTAGTTTTAGAGGAAACTTTAGTTTTTAAAAAATCTAGATTGAAAAGAAGATGCAACTGAGTGGTTTGTGTTCCTTTTTAGTCTACTGTTAAAAAATGCTCTAAAATATCATTATGCTAATGAGTTATACTTTTCCATTATACTTTTAGAATTTTCTAAACTGTCTCTGCTATATCTGCTTAGCATTATCGAAGACTTGTTTACCAAAGATCCTTTTTCCTGTCTCCTTTTTCCACCATGTCTATCTTAATGTGCCTCACCCACCACATTCTGATTGGTATTACCAAGCAGTAGTGAGTACTTTATAGAATTACCTTAAGGGTGTGGTTAACAAAGACTCTTGATATAAGAACTGCCGCTTTTTATGGGTACAACGCTTTTTATGCATACAACGTTGTGAAGGACTAGAAATGTTCTTAGAGAGCGAGTGTGCGTGTGTTGGTGTGTGTGATATTGAAGGCTGAGAAGTGGTGTGTTAACTATGCTCTTCACTTACAGTTTTAATAGGATGTCTTGTGCTTTATCTTTTTCTCTATAGTTATTCAGATATGAAGATTCTAGAGTATGAAATAGTAGCTCTCTCCTGGGAACAGAGATGTGCTCAAAAGGTCATAGGTTGTAAATGGAAATTATCTTATACCACCCCTAGCCATTCTTAAATAGGAGGGACCCTAGGAATAGAAAAGAATGTATGATATATTTTATGATTAAATTCCAATGATTGTAGAAAGTAGGACTCTTTGTTCTTTAACTGATGTTCAAGAATTTGATGCCCTAGTTTTATAACCATTTTTATCACCATATTATCTTCATACTTAGTAACATATGATTAGTTCTTGTAAAGGAAATTTTATATGTTTTGGGATTTGGAAATAAGTGAAATGCTAAATTTAAAGAAATATGGTTGCTATTTTTCTCTTGCCTGGCCATTTTATTACTGCAAATATAAATTGTAAATGAAGATTTTGAATTTACTTTGATTTAAAAGACAAGTTAGAGCCTTTACTGGCATCTCAGTTATTTTTAAAGTTGTCTTTAAGGGAGTTCATATCAATCTAGTTCTTTCTGATTTTTCCAGAGTGCTTGGTATAAATGAGTGGCAGAATACAGGGTTCCAGTATGATGTCATCAGCTGCCTGAATTTGCTGGACCGCTGTGATCAGCCCTTGACTTTGTTAAAAGATATCAGAAGTGTCTTGGAGCCAACTAGAGGCAGGGTCATCCTTGCCCTAGTCTTACCCTTTCATCCCTATGTGGAAAACGGTAAGTTTGATCAGGCTGCCTCTTACCCAGCGTGGATGTTTATTGGTATTTGTGATTCTGTTTCTTAGAATAGCCTGGAATTGAAAAGAATACAGTTAACCCATGTAAAATATCACCTTGGTTAATGTTCATCTTAATGTTGATTTTATAGAACTTGAGTATTCCCTTTGCAGTGGTAATAATTAATACTCAGCTTACTCTGCCTGCTTGAGATTGAAAGCCTAAAATGTGTCTGCATTTTCTGCTTTTAAATGGAGCTTGAACCATTTATTTATTAGCTTATAAGCTGAGTCAAGCAGCAAATGATGCGTTTTAATCTACCCATATATACTTGGCCAAATGTCATAGCTTTTTGTATTTTACATCTCTTGTCCCAGACTCTAAAAATGATAAATGCTGTTATCTCTTTTTTCCTTTTAAAGACCATTTGTGTTCCAGCATGTGTCATTTGTTTAACATTTGGTTTTTGATTGCATGGTCTTTGCTCTTCAGCGATATTAAATGAAGAATATCTTAGAAGAAATGGTTTGATTTTATATTCATATTTACTATGACTTCTGGCTGTAGTCACATTAATTCATAGTTTTAGCTTATGTGGTTTGCGTTTTAGGTCATGCTGAAAGTTATGACTTTACGCCTCTCTTGCATTTTCATAAGTTAATGTACAGTAAATAAAAATTATTATATAAGTAATACATGTTAACATTTAAAAATCTTTAGCTTTTCTATTTTACTACCTAGTTCAGCCTTGGGTTCAAAAACTCTAAGAGCTTGAAGACATTTCGAAGAAATCCATTAATATTTTGCAAGCATCGTAGCTATTGAATATCTGTGAAAATCTGTCCTAAGAAGTAATGCTCATATTTTTTATAACTGTGGATTGTGTTGCCACTCACTTGCTCCTTCGTTTCTTCCTGTCCTTACTTTTTCCCCTCAGGTCTTAGTTCCTTCAGATTTAATGCTTGTCTTAACATTTACCAAATGGTTTTAGATTTGTGTCGATGGTGGGGAAAATGGAGAATTCTTTAGACATAGGAGGGTGGGAAGGAGAACAGATAGAACAGATGTCCCCTCCCCCATCTGACTTCTCCATTTTTACATTCCTGTTGTTAAATCGTTTGTCGTGGTAAAGAAAGAACTGCTGTTGAGTGCCCATGTAGCGTAGGTATGTTGTACAGTGAGAAGTCTAATAAATGTCCTTGATAATGCAGCGACCTGACCTTATCTCAGTGCTGTTCCCAGTGTAGTTAGGCCTCAGCTCCCTCTCTGCACTGCAGTCACTGGCCATCAGGTCGGAGGACTGGCTGCCTGTGTCCTGTTAGATGACAGAACGTGAATGCTGCTTCCTGGCGTAGCAGGAGGTGGGAGAGCGGGGGAAGAACCCTCAGTCTAGTCACGGAGTTTATTTCCTTGTGCTTCTGACACTAGAAATTGAGAGGAAGTCAAACTGGACAAGAGGGCAGTCTCCAGTAAGGACTGAAAACAGCTCCTTGATTGTGGACTCACAGAGTTGCCTGTTGAGTCCAAGGAGTCTGGCATGTGACACGTAGCAAACCAGAGACAAGAAGCCTTGTTGCTATGGCTGACCTTCAGCGACCTATAAATTTTGCAGACTGCTCCGCAGCGCTCTATTATTGCCTCCTTTCTGAGTCACTAATTAGATCCTGATGATTTCCATGTGACACCGTGAGGACGGTGAGCTGCAGAGTGATCTTGCTGTGTGAGTTCATGAATATTGGGGTGTTTTAAGGATAGCTGAGTGTGCTTTGCATCCTTGGCTCAATTTATTTTTTAGCAAAAAGTTAATTGTAGGTGAAATGGTTACTTGTGTAATTTTTTTGAAATTTCTTGGAGTTGAATCACAGCAACGTTGTTACTTAGGTTAATTTGGGAAAAAAATGCAAAATATATCTTTCTAATTTCAGTTTGTTTGGTTTACTGACCCAATTTTGGTCAGGGGTTATTACATCTAGTGAGAATTGTTTTAAGCATCAAAAAAGGGAAAAGTTTGTAATCGAGTAAAGGAGAATTATATTGCAAAAATGAAAATTTAATGACGTTTAATTTTTCAAAATTGTAATTTTTATAAAAAGGTAATTCATGGTAAAAAGTTCAAGCAGCCTGCATGAGGGTATATAATAAAAAGTTTCCCATCCACTCCAGTTCCACAATCTTGTTCAGGTTTCTTGAATATTCTTCTAAAGATAGTCTATACAAATATAAGTATGTGTGTACATGAAAAAATCAATTATATAATTAAAGCCCTTTATAAATACTTTCATTGCCTTTTTCCTCTTAAGTGTGTCTAGGAAATTATTCCTTACTAGCACACGTATCTGCATTGTCTGGATGTAAGCAGTGGTTTGCTGCAGCTGGTTTTACTGGCTCTTGAGAGCTGATTGTGACATTGGCGGGAATGTACTGAACTGGTTGTTAAACATGGCGATTATTGAAATTGACCGTGGTGGGAATACTTACACGCAGAAATTGGCAGACACTACAAATAGCCTCTCCCTTCTCCAGGCTGGTTGGTAAACATTTACTAGCACACCACTGGATATATGATACTTTTACTGGAGGAGGCCCCTGTTGATGTACTGTTAGATACCAGCAGTTTGCTTTATAAATAATAGTGAAATGAACACTCTTAGGCAAGTCTTTGCACACATGTGTAAGTATATATCAGGATGCTTTCTGCTTCAAGAAACAGAAGGAGCAACTAAAAGTAGCTTGTAAAAATTAAGAGTTTATTTTAAAAAAGTGATTCCAAGGTTGGTTAATTCAGTGATAAAACTGTTCCATTGAAGTTCAGAGCTTGCTTTCTTTTCTTCATCTTCAGTGTGCTGACATTCCCCTCAAAACTGCAAAATGGCTGATGTGCCAAATAGGTGTAGGCATGACAAAATCTTCAAAAGAAAGGGGCATTTTCTCATATACATCTTTTTTTTTTTTAGTGAGGAAAACCTTTCCCAGAAATCTCCCTAGCACACTGCACTTCAGGTCCCATTGGCAAGGATGGGGGCACATGTGCCTTCCCAGCCAGCAACTGGCAAGGGGCTTGGGACAGTCATGACACACTCTCCAGGTTTGGGGAGGAAGTCATCTGCCTTGAGCATAATTGTTTACACTGTGGGGCTGAGCTCGCAGTGAAGGTGCAAGGGAATTGCCTGCTGAACACTCTCATGACACAGAATATCTTCATTCATTTAAAAAGTGTTCACTGAGTGCCTAGATGCTGGAGATAAGTGAGCAGAAAACATACAAATATCCTTGCCTTCAGGGAGCTTATGTTGTAGTGAGGAAGACAGACAGTAAACAAAATGGCATATTGGTGGTGATAAGTGTTATGGAGAAAAGGAAACACTAAAAGCAAGAAAGAGGTTTCTGGAATTTGGAGTTGGGTTGGCGCTGTAATTTTAAATAGGGTGCTCGGGGAAGGGCCTCACTGAGACGGTGACATGGAGAAAAGACCTGAAGGAGGTACATTTAAGGTTATCTGTAAGATACATCTCTAGGGGTGGAACTGCTTGGGGTGGAGTAAGTTTTCCGCATAGCTAGCCTGTGATCCTAAAACCATTTATTGAATAATCATCTCTTTCTCAGTCCTTTGAAATGCCACCTTTATTATAGACTGAAGTCCTGTATGTGTTTGGTTCTGTTCTATTAAGATTTATCCTATGTATGTGCCAATACCAAACTATTTTAATTACTTTACCTTTATCTCACACTTTAATATCATAGGACTAATCCCCCCTCAATCAGTTCCTTTTAGATTTTTCTTGACTGACTTAATTAACAGATCGGTTTTAGCACTAGCTTGTCTAGTTCCCGTATATTAAATTTATAGGTTAATTTAGGGAGTTTTGAGTCTTCCTAGCTAATAAAAGGGTGTGTGTTTCAATTTATTCAATTCTTTGTGTTCTTTAGTAACATAAAATTTTCTTCATTAAGGTCTTGCACAATTTTTGTTAGATTTATTCTGATGGGGTGTGGTGTGTGTATGTGTGAAATTGTAAATAGGAATTTTTATTTCACATTTTTAAAAAATTCAAAAAAAGTTTTCCAGCTTTATTGAGATGTAATTGACAAATAAAAATTGTGTGTATTTAAGGTGTACAACTGATGATTTAATGTAGGTACACATTGTGCAGTGATTACCACAATCAAGTTAATTAACCTCACATAGTTACCGTTGTGTGTGTATGTGATGAGAACACTTAAGATCTATTCTATTAGCAAATTTCAAGTATACAGTTCAGTATTATTAACTGTAGTCACCATGCTGTACATTAGATTCCTAGAACTTATTTATCTTATTACTGAAAGTTTGTATCCTTTGACCAACATCTTCCCGTTTCCCCCACCCCCAGCTCCTGGCAAACACTGCTCCATGCTCTGGTTCTGCGAGTTTGGCAACCATTGTTCTATGCTCTGGTTCTGCGAGTTTGACTTGTTTAGATTCCACGTATGAGTGAGATCATACATACAATATTTGTCTTTCTGTGTGTAGCTTATTTCACTGAGCATAACGTCCTCCAGTTCATCCATGTTGTAGCAAATGGCTCTTCCATCATATTTTAGAATGGATATTATACATACATACACAAGCAATTATTTTTTTGGTGTGTACCAATTTTGTAACTGTTTATCTTATTGAATTATCTTGACGTTTCCAATAGTTTCTGCCATTGATTCTCTTGGATTTTCTTGATACATGGTTATGGCATCTGCAAATGGTCTTACTACATCCTTTTTATTTTTAGACTTTTTTTTTTTTTTGAGGAAGATTGGGCCCGAGCTAACACCTGTTGCCAGTCTTCCTCTTTTTGCTTGAGGAAAATTTGCTGTGAGCTAGCATCTGTGCCAGTCTTCCTCTAATTTGTATGTGGGTCACCGCCACAGCATGGCTGACTAGTGGTGTAGATCCATGCCTGGGATCCAGGCTGCCAAAGTGGAGCACACTGAACTTAACCACTACACCATGGGGCTGGCCCATAGACTTTTTATTGTCAAAGTGAATTGGTAGTTACTTCCAGAAAATGTTTAAAAAATGGTAGACCTTTTTTTCTTGCTTTTGACATTAATGAAAAAAATACTTCTGCTTTAAATATGATGCTGTGTTTTGGCGTGAGCTTGCTGTTTGGCTTGAGATGATCCTGTTTTATTAAGAGCTGAAAAGTCAGGAGTCAGTGTTGAGTTTTGTTACCTGTGTTTTCAACATCTATGAGATAGTCATCCTGTTTTTTCTCCTTCGACATTACATTAATAGTATTTTTCTAATACACATCCACCCTTGCATCTCCAGGCTTAGATAGGATAGTCGTCTTGTATTGCATCACTAGAGTGTATTTACAAAAATTCTAAATAAAAATATTAGTATTAATATTATTGATAAATGATAGTTGGTGTATATCTGATCTTTTATTTATTTGGAGGATGTTATCTTTGTCATGTTTTGGTATCAATGTTCTACTGGCTTTGTGAAAAATAATTTGGGATTTGTTTTTTCTATGCTCTGGAACAGTTTAAATAGCATTGTGGTTATCTGGTCTTTGCAAGTTTGCTAGAATTCTCCTGTGAAACCAGCCGGGCCTGTGCTTTTTGAGAGAGAGCCCTTGGCAACTTTCTCACTTTCTTCCAGGGTCATTGTTCTGGTTAAATTAGGCATGTTTAGTCTTAAAGTTCTGATCAGTCTAAATAGAAATAAGCAAGACTCTGGCCGGACTGTTTTGTGCAAAGAGTTTGAACTTTTGTGGAAAGACCCATATTTCAAATATGGGTCAGCCCTTAGACCTGGGCCTCTGGAACATTATGCTTAGTGTTTCATCTATAAAAATGGGCTAATACCTACCTTGAAGTTTGTTGTGAGGATTAAATAACACAGTTTATAAGACAGTGCCCAACTGTGTCTGTCTCAGTGTTGGTATTTGATACGTTACATTTATTTCACTCCATTCTGTTCTCTTACTTTGTTATTCGTGGTTTTATTCATCATATTTGTTCACAGTTCTTCAGTTTGAAATATTTGTCAATGTGTTTTAGATCTGCCTGTGAAACTCTTTTAACAATAATAATCATAATTTGATGTCTTCATTCTGCATTTTAACTTCATCTCAAAGTTTGTGCCTTCTCATTGGTTTATGTGACTTGAGCCCACAGAGACTTAACTATTTGCCTATTAGCCAGGGGTTTCAGATTCTCTCAAGTCATATAGTAGAGAAAAAGAGATTTCTTATTCTGAAAATCCCATTGGTATGCTCTTGTCTAGAGGGTGGGGTGTGTAGACACTAGAACCACATCTGTGTCCGTTTCCATCTTTGAGTTGTTTTCAGTATTATTCTCTTTTTATTGTCATGGGAAACTCAGATGTAAACAGACAGCTATAGCTTAATCATTTTCAGGGAAAATTCTGGATGCTTAGATAGTAGGAAAATTAATACTGTTAGGGCTTGAACAGACAGTCCTTATGGAGAAGAGTGAAGGTTGATGGCTAGAGAGTGTAGTGTGCCTCATATCTCAGTTGAAATGCTGAAAAAATATTTTTCTATAGAAACATTGTTCAGTAGTATTCATATAAAGGCATTTGAGAGCCTACTATGTAACAGGCAGTGCTAGGCAGTGGAAATGCAGAGATAAAGGAAAAATGTACTGCTAGTCCTAAAATATTTACAGACTAGTACAGAAAATAGATGTAAGCAGACATAGCAAGATAGTCTGACAAGAAATATGACAAAATACTCTGTGTTTAGAGAAGGAAAGACCCATTAACTGCCGGGGGAGTTATAGGAGGTTTCATATAGGAGGTGACATTTGAGCTGTGTTTGTGTCTGTAAAGCATTTTCCGGGGCAGAGGAAACAGCATATGCGAAAGCATGAAGTATGAACAAAGTGGGCTTCTGGAAAGACGTTCAGCATGACCCAAGGATGACCTACAGAAGAGGCCTTTGATTGTGTAATATTATAGCACTCAGTAAGTATTGTTGGCTAGATGGATGAGTAAAAGAATAAATATTATAGATACATCAGGTACTCTATGACCTGAGGGAATATAACTACTTTCTTTGGGAACATTTATTCCAAATTTTGGCTCAAAAATCAGTCTTTGAAACACAGTGTTTGTTTGCATTGGGAAAGGCTTATTCTGAGTCAGATACTAGTTTATCTTAGGGATTTTGTCTCCTTGCTAAGTTACACAAAGAACAGTATATTTTCAGCCCTGGAAGTACCAAAATATAATGAAATGAAAAGTAGATGATATAAACCAACACTCCTATTCACCTACATGGTGAATTTACCCTTTTTGCCACCTGGTTTAGAAGTTCATTTATTTCATCCAAGGCAGTGGTCTCAAAGTAGGGGGTATACAAGACAATTTGTTTCGGGATATAGGAAGAAAATATTAGCATTTTAATTTATATTACTTTTTGTGCTAATTGTTTAATTTCAATAATTGTGTATATGATACAAGCACATTATACACACGTACATATATATGCATCCACATACACTATACAAAACACACACAAATACACAACATATGCACTCACATATATATACATAGAGATAAATAAAATGAGGTTATATGCTCCCCGCGCTTTCCATTTTTCCTGGCATGTGTGATTAGAAAGGTTAGAGGTCACTAATTTAAGCCATGGATCTTAAAATATCTTAAAATTCTATCTGGGTTTTAAAAATAAGAATACAGGGCCGGCTCCGTGGCTTGGCGGTTAAGTGCGCGTGCTCTGATGCTGGCGGCCCGGGTTCGGATCCCGGGCGCGCCCCGAGGCACCACTTCTCCGTCCAACGCGAGGCCGAGTCCCACGTACAGCAACTGGAAGGATGTGAACCTATGACATGCAACTATCTACTGGGGCTTTGGGGGGAAAAAAATGAATAAATAAAATCTTTAAAAAAAAAAGAATACACTTCATTTAATACCAGTTTAAAAGAAACACTTTAATGAAATAAGCATAATAAGTTGTAATTCATGTTTAATAATGAACACATACTTGTGGGTAGTTTAAATAGATTTTTTTATACCAAAGTAGCTTTCAAAGAACAATCCATAACATATTTTCTTAGGTAGATGGTAATGAATTCCATAAACATCTTTGCTGTACTCAGCCCCAAATCTGATATTTCCCTCCTACATTGGTTAAAAATCAGTATTGCCAAGGCACTGTCAAGAACGGCGCCTTGCCCACCCCGCCCCTGGTGCTGTTATTTGGCACAACACTGACATCTAGAGTCGGTTGTGGCTCATTTGTTCTAAGTTTTCTCTGTTTAACCTTCTGCTTTGGATTTTCTGTATTTTAGCTATCATTTTCTTACTCTGCTCTCTGTTCTATTCTAGTCTTGCTTCTTTTTTTTTTTTTTT